AACAAAAATAACACACCTTAAAACATTCTACTAAATTTCCCCATTTGTCTAATAAAAATAAAGGTTTTAATTTTAACATAGTATAACTACATAGAACAAAAACAGTTACCAAGTAAGAATTAATTTACAATATTTAATGTGTAGTTAGCGTATTTAAAGAAAATAATGCATTATCTATCCTATCTTAGTGAATCCAAAATTTTATATCTAACATTTTTATCATAATTAAGAAAAATTGTAACTATAACTATTTAGTCTTTAATTCCATCAAAGACCCAGAAAGATATAATATTGTCTAACAACAGAGACATTTGGCTGCCTGGAAAGTCACCCAAAGTTTTTCTGCAAGGTTGGGGCATATAGGCTTAGAGTGTCTGGCAGCCTTTTCTATGAAGCAGGAATTTTGAACTGTCCTGCCTTGTGGCAGTGTTTATTAGTCACTTTCCTCTGTGTTCTGTAGAATATTTGGCAGACTCTTCTGTGAAGCAGGAATTTTGTAGACTATCCTGCCTTGTTTTGGCAAAGTTCAGCAGTCATTTTTCTCTGTGTCTTGCATGTCCAGTCTGCATAGCATGTTGTCAGCAGTCAAAGGCAAGAACAGTTTCTTTGCCTAGTGTCTAACCTTGCCATAATGAAAGCAAATTTCTTAAGGAGTTTCTTCAATGCCTATCATCTCTCTGAAGGGAATTAGTGTTGCCAGGAGCAGATGTGTCTCATTGTCATGAAAAGTTAATAAATAAATTGCATAGGTACAATACCTTAACCAAGAGTAGAAACATATATAATATGTGGTAACAAAAATAACTTTAAATTTGCATTGATATACAAAAACCCTTTAGATGAGTAGAAACGTATACAGTGTAACAAAAATAATTTTAAGTTTGTATTAATATTCTATATTACCCTAAATGATAATAAATATTCATAACCCATCAAATAACCAAAAGCCAACTCCACACACACACCCAACTTTTGGGAATGTGGGTGTAGTTTTTTCATATTTATTTGTTGTTGTTGTCTGTGAATGAAGTATCTTTAGGGTTCCAGAGAGAAAATTTTGAAATAATGACCAAGTTCTGGGAAGACCAGCATTAACCTTTGCTGATAGATATCTGTCAAGTTTCAGGAGGTCTCGCCTGATCAAACCTGACCCATATTAACCCTGAAGGAATCCATAGCCTCTCATCTCCTGTGGAAACAAACTCCAAAGTATTTTTGATTTCCATTTAACAAATATATTTTTTGACTTTTTAAAAGTTAAGGCATTTTTAAAGTATATAGATTGATTTATTTTAACAGTCTGTCTTTAATTTCAGGTCTCTTTGTAGCTATCCTTTGCTTTTTAACAATCAAAAAATTCAAAATCAACACATTAGCATACAGAATCTGTGTATTTCCCATCTTACATGGATTTTTTTAAATATTCCTTATAGCTGGAGAATTTCTCTCCAGCTCCCTCTAAGTCCCGCCAGTCCCGGAGCCCACTTATAAAATAAACACACAGACTCTTACATTATTTAAACTGCTTGGCCATTAGCTCAGGCTTATCATTGTCTAGCTCTTACTCTTATATTTAGCCCATTTCTATTAATCTTTACTTTGTCATGAGGCTCGTGGCTTACCGGCACTTTATATCTTTCTTGTCCTGGCAGCGGCTCCAGGCGGACCCCTCCGCCTTCCTCTTCCCTCAATTCTCCTCTCTGTTAGTCCTGCCTATACTTCCTGTCTGGCTACCAGCCAATCAGTGTTTATTTATACAGAGCGATATCCACAGCAATTCCTTTCATTTTTCTCTTCAAAGATTTTATTATTTTTAAATTATTTTTTTCTATGACTATACCCCTCCCCTTTTTTTGTAAGCCTACACACATTGTTAAACATACTGTAACCTGCTTCGAGGTTTTTCGTCTGGATCTCCTTTATTGTGAATCTCCTGTCTTTTTTAACCATGCGAGTAAACTTTAGACTGATAAGGTACACCTGGATTCTCCACTCTCAGGGCTCTCAGCTGGCTCCTCCCACTTCTCAGGTTGTGAAAGCCAAGAGGAAGCTTGCTGCCAGTAGGAGGTTTGTCTGAGGAGGAACTGCATTCAACCTTCCCAGAGCTCTAGAGTGCCAATGCTTGCACTGTGGCAGGCATTTTTACTTAGTTTTTTGTTCCTAGTTTATGTACTGGCTGCTCAAGAGCTCATTGACCAGCAGAAACTGTTTGGCTGAAACTCTTAAAGGAGTGTATCCCACCACCACCCCCTTTTTTCTTTAAAACTCAGCTTTCTTAAGACCTGCGTGGAATTAAGGGCCCCACAGTGGACACCATTAAATTGTTAAGGGTTTTTGCTCTTTTTTGGGGGGCCTGCCACCCAGCTTCCAAAAAAATCACACATGGGGGCTTATTCTTAATTATGAATGTCTGACCTTAGCTTGGCTTAGTTTCTTGTCAGCTTTCTTTAACTTAACTTAGCCCATCTACCTTTTGCTTCTGGGCTTTTCTGGTTCTCTTACTTCTGTAAATCTTACTCTTCCTCCAGTGCTTGCTGTGTATCTGGGTGGCTGGCCTCTATAGTCTTCCTTCTCTGGCTCCTAGCTCTTAGATCTTTCTTCCTTTCAAAAAGTGGCAGGACACTAACTAACACTGAACTCAAATAGCTTCTGTCTTAGGGTTTCTACTGCTGTGATGAAGAGACGCCATGACCATGGCAACTCTTATCCAGGAAAACATTTAATTGGGGCTGACTTACAGTTTCAGAGGTTTAGTCCATTATCATTGTGTCGGGAAGCATGGTGGCATGCAAGCAGACTTGGTGCTGGAGAACGAGCTAAGAGTTCTATATCTGGATCCTCAGGCAGCAGAAGGAGACTGTGTGCCACACTGGGCATAGCTTGAGCATATGAAACCTCAAAGTCTGCCCCACACTAACACTCTTCCTCAAACAAGGACACACCTCCTAATAGTGCCACTCCCTATGGGCCAAGCATTCAAACACATGAATCTATGGAGGCCATTCCTATTCAAACCATTACACCTTCCTGTACGTAAACAACAAACAAGCTGAAAAAGAGATCAGGAGACCTCATAACCGCCATAACCGACCTAACCACCAATAAAGACTTTAAGGTACTGAGGAAAGAAACTGAAGAAGATGCCAGAAGATAAAAAGGCTCCCCACACTCCGTGGTCCCCTCCTGTGGTGATATTTTATTTGTGCTCTAATAAAGCTTGCCTGGAGATCAGAGGAAAAAGCTAGCCACTATATTAGACATAGAGGTCAGGCAATGGTAGCAACACTCCTTCAATCCTATCACTCAGGAGACAGGGATCTGTTTGAGTCTGAATTTCTCCATAATTCATTTTAACAGGTTTTTCTAAGGCTTTTATCTTGGCACTCAAATTGACCAATCTTTGTAATGCTAAAATAAAAATGATCATTAAGAGGAAAAGAAAAGACTTTTAAAAGACGTCAATTTTTCAAGTTTTTAAAATTTTCAATCAACATGGGTGGCCATATTTGGCTCCAGAATAAATGGCATTTTATTCCCTTTGTCTTGGTTAATGTTTCTATTGATGTTCATACTGTCTGAACTCTAACACTCGGGAACCATAAGCCAAAATAAACTATTTCTTTTATAAGTTGCCTTGGTTACAAGATTTTACCCCAGCAACCAAAAAATAATACAAATGCCAAAATTGTACATTGACAACAAGATAGTCTTTTCAAAGAATGGTTCTGGTATACTGGATATCCACATATTTGGGGTAGGCTCCAGGAAGTCAGTGTTTGCTTGTTAAAATGCGGAGATTTTTGTTTTTACTTTTAGCTTTCTTACCCTACACTGGGTATATGTGTAACTGTCCTGCCAGAAATGACGCTGCTCTAAAGAGACACTTGTGCGCCTCCCTTCGGCCATCAGACTCTCCACAGAATAAGCCTTAATGAGTTGGAATTTTTCCAGGGAAAGGAAAAGGCTGGGACCTTGATGCCAACCAGGAGAAAAACATCACACAGTACTCACAACTTACATGACCCACTGGGAGCCCTGGCCAGGAGCAGAGACGATACGGGTTCAACATGCAGGACCACACCTGGAATACGACTGCTTAGCTTTGCATACCTCGTCTACTCTGTCTAAACCACCTAACCTCATGTCGGTATTCTGAAGGTGGACCTTGGGAAGGCTGGACACTGGCCCTCTTTGTGCCTCTTCCCAATGTGGCCACACTGAATGACGTTCCTTTCTTTGCTTTGTCACTATTTCTCGTAGAGACAAGAACTAATTAGAACTTCAATGATTCTGGAGAGCTTGGAATGCTGCAAGTCCAGCGCCAAGTCCTTGTGGACCATCTTTAGTGAGAGCACACACACACCCCTGACAAACAGGGTCTCACTACGCAGCCCTGGCAGGCCTGGAACTTGCTACATAGAACTTGCTCTGCCTGCCTCTTGAGTGCTGGCATTAAAGGCACGTGCTACCTTGCCCCTGCAACTTTAGCCCTCTTAAGAGCCATTCTATTGCCCTCTTCTGTGAGTAAACTAACATCTTTGGAGTTCACAGACATCTAGTCCCCACCAACCAAAAGGCTATGAGTGTCATCAAGATAGTACCCAAGGCTTATAGCAAAGGTTTTCCATCTTGGTTTTAATCTATTAATGTTTTCACTACTGTATTTAAGTGTCCTGACTTAGACTTCTGTTACTATAAAGGCTTTGAGACGTGACTAGGAGATGGATCAGAGGTAAAGAGCACTGGGTTGTTGGGGAATTTTATTTTAAGGTGTGTTACTTTTGTTTATGGTGCATTTGTTTAACTCTGTGAAGCTGTGTTACTGTGTCTGTCTAAACACCTGATGGTTTAATAAAGAACTGGCCAATAGCAAGGCAGGAGAAAGGATAGGTGGGGCTGGCAGGCGGAGAGGATATATAGAAGGAGAAATCTGGGAGAAAGGAGAAGGAATGAGAAAGGAAAGAGGAGGGCTTCAGGGGCCAGACACACAGACACACAGACACACAGACACAGACACAGAATAAGAAGGAGAAGGAAAGAAAAAGTGTACAGAAATAACGATCCAGCAAAAGATAGATGGGGATAATTTAAAGTTAAGAAAAGCTGGCTAGAAACAAGCTAAGCTAAAGCCGGGCATTCATAAGTAATAATAAGCCTCTGTGTGTGTTTTATTTGGGAGCTGGGTGGCAGGCCCCCCAAAAGAGCAAACACAGACAACCACATTTTGGTGCCCAATGTGGGGCTAAAGTAAAAGACACTCCAACAACATTGGGTGCCCTTCCAGAGGACCAGGGTTCAGTTCTCAGCACCACACGATAGCTCACAGCTGATCATAAGTCCAGTTCAGGGGAGGAGATGCCCCCCTTCTGGCCTCATCATACATGGCACACAGATGGTACACAAACATGCATTCAGGCAAAACACCCATGTACATCAAATAAAATAGCTCCATGAAGCTGCTTCCATGTTGGAACATGAAGCTTGGGGTAGCCTAAATCTCTGTTCCAGGACCACGATCACTGAATTTGGTTCCAAAGTCAACTGTTTCTTACCCCTTTGAGGTGAGAGCTGTGTTTCTGTGTCAACAATACCCCGCATCTTACAGGCTGTTTGGTCCCATGGTACCATTGTCTCTTTTTGTTTGTTTTTCGAGACAGGGTTTCTCTGTGTAGTGCTGGCTGTCCTGGAACTTGCTCTGGAAACCAGGCTGGTCTCAAACTCAGAGATCCGCCTTTCTGTGCTTGGATTAAAGTCCCACTGCTGCCTGGCAGTGCCACTGTTTCTTAAGTTGGCCCTTTGAGGACCTGTGGGTGAGCTTCTTAGGGCTGCCGGGGCTCAGCCTTTGATCCTAAAAGCTCTGGCACCATACATACATATAATGTATACATTTTATGTGTATTAATTGTAATTTTCTTATGAAAGATTTAATATTTCCATATTTCTGAAGTTAGTACATTGCAATCTGAAGTTATCCACAGGGACATACACAAGTTGCTTGACATATTCAGTATATCACTCTTAGTGAGATGGTGATAATGATGTCTGTATTAGGATAAGGCTTTACAATTCTTTGGGAATTAACATGTATGGCACTTTACTTGGTGTCTGCTCTTTTTATTTATATATACTACACACACACACACACACACACAAAACTTTTTTTTTTTTTTTTTTTAGTTTCTCACGCTTCGTGTTGTCATTTACATAGTTTTGAAAGCTAGCAACCCTAGGGCAAAACTGTGAGATCTTTGGGTGTGCAATCGCACTTGGTCCCAAGTACTTAAGCTACCCCCCTAATACACACTGCCCAAGCTCAGTCAGCCTCTGTCTTCCCGCCCAGGGTGCCCATTGCTAGCTCATGCATCCCCTTAAAGACCAGGCCCGCGGGGAAGCAGTGCAGCACCCATCCGTGAGGCGACACTTCATAACGTGATCAAAAATGGAGTCGTCGCGGAGGCTTCTGGAAAGCGTAGTTCGCCGCGGAGGGCTGTTCGGCGCACGTCACCCGCGGAAGTTTTGTCCTTCGCCTAGGGGGGGATGAGGGGGGGAAGGTAACCGAGCACTGCAGCGTCCCCCCGGCCTAGGGGCCTCGGAGAGCGGCGGGCGCGGCGGGCGGGCGGGCGAGCGCGGGACCCCGCGGGGCGGCGGCGGGAGGGGAGGGGCGCGGGGCGGGCCGCGGAGGGGAGGGAAGGGGAGAAGAGAGGGCCGCGGCGAGGAGGCTGGTCTGAGCCGCCGCCCGGGTGACGTGGCGCCCACTGGCCGCTCCCTCGTCAGCCCGCCACGTCGGCGTCCGCCCGCTTCTCAGCCACCCCCGAGCGAGCGTCTGCAGCGGAGGCCGCGGGACTCCCTGACACCGCTGTCACCGAGGTGAGGCTCGCCCTGGGCGCACGGAGCAGGGCAGTCGTGCAGAGTGCCGGGGAAGCAGCCGCGCCCGCGGCTTCCCGATCACCCGCGCTGGGTCCTTTCATCTCGGCCCTGCGGTCGCGTTCCCAGGCGCTGTTTGGTTTACCCAGTGCCTGCGGGTGGCCCTAATCCGCTATTGTTCTACTCGGTGGTTGCCGCCTGTCCCTGGCAGTCCTGTCTGCGTCTGCTTTCTGCGCTGCGGCTGAGAACATAGCAATGAAGCATACGTGATCATACCTGGAGTCTTCTATTTCTAAAAATTACTGAGCCTCCTCTGGATCCCTTAGTGTGAACGATTAATTAAGGCTCTCCCTGCATTCCCTCAACCAGCCTTTGTTAGACTGTTGAGCAGTTATTTGGAAGAACAGTATTACTTTTAAAAATACCTTTCAATATTAAATTTCACCGAGAAGCTGAATGTCGTAATCATCCTCAAAGGGAATAGAAATGAGACAGATTGGGGAGGGGGAGGGGTGCACAGTCTGGTCATGTAGCTCCAGACTAGTTTGGAGCTGTTGAGCCTGGTGTTGAATGCTGGGTTTACAGGTGTGTGCCACCACGTCTACTAGCAGAGACAGATTTGTTTCTTTAAAAGATGAAAACCGTACTTCATATATGTTCTCTGTTGTGAAGGCGATTACCTAGTGCTGATGATTGGCTCATTTGTATCTGGCCTTATTGCCTTTTACCCTACACTTACATAGTAGGCATTTTGTAAGCACCCTGCTGGCTGGATTTGAACATTTGCTTTCTTTAACTGTATACACGATATGCCTGTTCAGGGAATATGGTACTAAAACTGTTGTCTAACTAATCAGTAACTTAAAAAAAAAAAAGTCTCACTATGTATTCCAAGCTGGTTTAGCTCTCACCGTGTAGCTTAAGCTGGCCTTGATCTTGCTGTCCTGCCTCAGCCTTTCCATTGGGGTGGAGTGGGGGGGCGTTAAAGGTGTGTATCACCACATCTCGCTTCAAATTGCTATTTTTGGGATAGACTTGTTTCAAAACTAGACTTGGGAGTCATGCCAAAGCTCATGAAGACTTAATTAAATTTTACCCCAGATTTAGCCTGTTTTGAGAGGATAGTCAATTACAGGGATCTCGATTTGTTGTGTTGCTGTCAAGACTTGACTAAAGGCTTGGTGAAGGGTTATTCACTATTATCTAGTTCGGTTCACTTTAAAGATAAGAGCATTGAAACTAAGTCCCTGTGTTAGCAGCAGGCTGGGCAACAGAACCAAAGTCAAAATGTATCATATCTAAGTGAAAATGTATCATATCTAAGTCAAAATGTATCATATGTAAGGTTCTTGAAATAGTGTTTTAGTTTCTTTTTGCTTTGAGACAATGTAATTTAGGAAGATAAGTGTCATGTTTGAAAGCTTTGAAATGACTTTCTAACTTTTGGGGAGTTGTAGTATTGACAGAAAAAATGTTGTCTCCAATGCAAACGCATAAGGTTCTCAGTTTGTATATGTTATACCCCTTTGAAACTAATCCGTTATTCAGTGTTTACTGACTTTTGCGTTAGTCGGTAAGCAGACACATGCTTTTCAAACAGACAGTTGAAATGTTTAGATTTAGTAAAAGAAAAAATGTCTCGGGCTCATTGAGATTATGTTAGAACTATCAATAGATAGGTGAGTATTACTCCATCGTAGTCCTGATTGGATCAAAAAGACAGCTTCTCCATAGATAGTACTAAAATGTTGTATGCAAATTTCTCACAGGAGACCTGGAGCTGTGGTGACAAGGTTTCTTATGACTTCACTCTCCCAGCTTTAAAGGGTAGAAACCCTTTCTAAAAACACAACAGAAAATGAACAAGTTCAAGGTGAGTAACTTAATTGGTTTAAGTCTGTGTGTGCACACATATGTTCGGTGAGGTTTCTCGAAAGAGAATCTCTGGGGTTGGAGAACTGACTCAGTGGTTAAGAGCAGTTGTTGCTCTTGCAGAGGACCCAGGTCTGATTCCCAGCACCCACGTGGTGTCTCAAAACCATCTGTAACTCTAGTCCCAGAGGATTCAATACCCTCTTCTGACCTCCACGGTACCAGACATTTACATGGTGCACATACATACATACCTGTAGGCAAACCACTGATACACATAAAATAATAAAATAAATAAATCTAAAAAAAGAAAGCGAGCCCCTGGTCATCTTGGCGGCTGGTGTTGGTTGGGGGCTGTCCCGCACCTAAGGCAGGAAGATGGTGGCCGCAAAGAAGACGAAAAAGTCTCTGGAGTCGATCAACTCTAGGCTCCAACTTGTTATGAAAAGTGGAAAGTACGTGCTGGGGTACAAACAGACTCTGAAGATGATCAGACAGGGCAAAGCGAAATTGGTTATCCTCGCCAACAACTGTCCAGCTTTGAGGAAATCTGAAATAGAATACTATGCCATGTTGGCGAAAACTGGTGTTCATCACTACAGTGGCAATAACATTGAATTGGGCACAGCATGTGGAAAATACTACAGAGTATGCACACTGACTATCATTGACCCAGGTGATTCTGATATTATTAGAAGCATGCCAGAACAGACTGGTGAAAAGTAAACCAGGAAAGTTTTTCTTTAATAAAACTTTACCAGAGCTCCTTTTAAAAAAAAAAAAAAAGAAAAGCGAGTCTCTGTATTAAATTAGAAAGTATGATTGGTTTAAAATCACCTTCAGGGTTAAATAACACAGTTGCTCTTAAAGTATGGTCTACAGAGTCCCAACTGCCCTCAGACCCTTTCAAGGGATTCGGTAATGTCAAAGGTCATAGTATTAACGAGCAAATTGCCTTTGTACTGATGGTGTGAAAGCTGTGAGAGGTTGATGACTGTCCTACATGACTTTCAACAGTGAGACTGATGGTAGGGAGCAGCTGAGGAAAGAGTGAGCCAGTTGAGTAGCAGAAGTTGTGAGTTATGTTGACATATGAAATGCATTGCTGTACATTTTTGGTACATATTATTGTACAGTGTTTATATATTAAATTAAATGTATCGTGAGGGAGTGAAGCTATTTTTTATTTCCTTGCTGAAATTTCATCTCAGATACACTTCATACAACATTTGTGTCACAGTAAGTCAGCATTCTGCTCCAAACTAAGAACAATCCTTTTTTTTTAATTTTATTTATTATGTATACAGTATTCTGTCTGCATGTTTGCCTTCATTCTAGAAGACAGCATCAGATCTTATTATAGATGCTTGTGAGCCACCATGTATGGGGTTGCTGGGAATTGAACTCAGGACCTCTTGAAGAACAGTCAATCCTCTTAACCTCTGAGCCATCTCTCCAGCCCCTCTAAGAACAATTCTTTCAAGCACTGGTTCTCAACCTTCCTAACTCTGTGACCCTTTAATACAGTTCCTCATGTTATGGTGACCCCAAACCATAAAATTATTTTCGTTGCTACGTTATAGCTGTAATTTTGCTACTGTTATGAATCATAATGTAATATCTGTATTTTCTAGTGGTCTTAGGCGACCCCAATGAAAGGGTTGTTTGACCCCCCCCCCCAAGGGATCACAACCCACAGGTTGAGAACCACTGCTTTAAAGATATAAGGTGACTGATTCATATTTAACTTTCAATGTAGCATGAAAGTGAAGAGCTTGCAAATAAAATAGTGACAGTGACACCAAATTTATTATCATTGGATTTTTGCAAAGAGCTAAGTAAAAGACTTCTAGTTTCCTGAAGGATGTCTTCAAAGGAACGGCAAAAACTTACCTTTTGATGATTAAGAGATAATGAAAACACACTTGTAATAGTGGTTCACCTTTCCTAATTCCTTGTCATACTTTACATTCACATTCATCCTTTTTGTTGTTATTGTTGTTTTGTTTTTATTTATTTTTTTATTAAGAGATTTTCTATTCATTTTACATACCAACCACAGATTCCCCTGTCCTCCCTCCTCCTGCCCCCCAGCCTTTCCCCCACAACCCACCTCCCATTCCCACCTCCTCCAAAGCAAGGTCTCCCATGAGGAGTCAGCAGAGCCAGGAACTTTCAGTTGAGGCAGGTCCAAGTTATCAGGGCTCCTCAGCTATTGGTCCACAGTTCATGTGTTTCCACTAGTTTGACTAGTTGTCTCTATACTTTTTCCCATCATGACCTTGATGTCCCTTGCTCATAGAATCCTTCCTCTCTCCCAACGATTGGACTTCTGGAGCTCAACCTGGCACACGGCCATGGATCTCTGCATCTGCTTCCATCAGTCACTGGATGAGAGCTCTATCATGACAGTTAGGATATTCAGCCATCTGATCACCAGAGTAGAACAGTTCAGGCACCTTCTCGACTATTGCCAGTAGTCTATGGTAGGGTCATCCTTGTGGATTCCTGGGAACTTCCCTAGCACTCTGCTTCTCCCTGTTCCCATGATGTCTTCATTTATCATGGTATCTCTTTCCTTGCTCTCCCAATCTGTCCCTGTTCCAGCTCAAACCTCCATTCCCCTATGTTCTCATCCCCCAACCCTTGCCCTCCATTACCCCCCTACACTCCCAGTTTATTCATGTAGATTTCATCTATTTCTCCATCACTGGGCAATCCATGTGTCCTTCCTAGGGTCTTCCTTACTAGCTAGCCTCCCTGGAGCTGTGGGTTGCAGTCTGGTTATCCTTTGCTTTACATCTAGAACTCACTTATGAGTGAGTACATACCATGTTTGTCCTTCTGAGTCTAGGTTACCTCACTCAGGGTGATATTTTCTAGTTCCATCCATTTGCCTGCAAATTTCATGCTGTCATTGTTTTTCTCTGCTGAGTAGTACTCCATTACATATATGTACCACATTTTCTTTATCCATTCTTCAGTTGAGGGGCATCTAGGTTGTTTCCAGGTTCTGGTTATTACAAATAGTGCTGCTATGAACATAGTTGAGCATCACATTCATCCTTAATGCTACTCTAGAAATTATTAATTATGTTAGCCTGTGACTGTTAAGTACACATCTTTGTAATGTATTGTGTGATGGAATGGGATGTTCACGTAAGATCCTTCTGCTGAGCCTAAACTGTGGCCATTGGTGCCCTAGGACAAGCACTTGTGTGATTTTTACGCAAATATCTTGGAATATCTTTTATATTTGAAAGAACTGGCAGAAAAACTGGTTATTCAGAATTGACAGAGTCTCGCTCTGTGGCTCTAGCTTGACTAGAGCTCACAGAGATCCTCCTGCCTCTGCCCTGGAAGTGCCAGGATTAAAGGTGTGCGCCACTCCAAGCCCAGAAACAAACTTTTTTTTTTTAATTTTATGAAATGAGTCTGTCACTTCCAGGAAAAGAACTGTTAGTATTTTTGTTTCTTTTTTTGCTAATTTTAAAATTTGATTAATATGAGAATTAGGATTTGGGAAAACGTATGACCTTCCTAATGAACTGAACATGACTACCTGAGGAATTTTCTGACTAGGTCTCTGATGATATTAACAAATATGGTTTTAAAAATAAATGTAAAATTTATCAATATTTGACTGGCATTTCTGATTTATGTTCAGCAGTGTAGTCAAGCAATTTGGAAGCAAAGAAGTGAAAAACAGATCATGTGTTTATTAAAGAATGCTGTTCTCAAAGGTAATAATTAAGGAGACTCCTGAGTTTAATTAAGAGGGAAGAATGTCATTGCAAAACCACAGCACTCAAGTCAGAAGGGATGAGAGATAGTTTATTTTAGAGCAAAATATGACCGACTGTGGCTCAGGAACACAGACTCTGGTTATCTCAAACACCATGTCCCAAGTTGGTAACAATTTAATGAAGTTTTTGTAAAAGCAGAAGAAAGTTATAAATCAAGTCCCTTAAAAATACATTAGTGAAAGTCTCAGGGAGGCAGGTTACAGTGAAGCAGGGCTGGTCTAGGCCTCAAACACTACCTGATGATATTGTTGGTTTTTGATTCATGGAAGCTGGGGGTCTGTTTGTAGTTCCAAAAGGGAGTTTTAACAAGGAGAGATGTTAGGTCAAACACAAAGTGGGACATGAATGGCTATTAGGAATGCTGAAGATAGACCAAGGTAATTTGGCTTTGGATTAGTGATGCCCTAGGGCTCCATAACTACAGAAGATGTAATCATTCAGTCAGTAGAATCTTTAACATGGGTGCAGCCCTGTTTCTGGGCACTTTAGATCATAGTTCTCCTTATTGGTTAAGCATCACATTCTGTGCTTGTAGAGGACAACTATTGCTTGATGTCTCGTGATGGCAAAGAGACTCATTCCTAAGATCTGATACAGATAAGACTCAGTAGGCGGGGATGCAGTCTTCGGGAGAGAGAAGTAGTTAGTAAAGTCATCAAAGCAATCGCTGGATCAAATCGGCCACCATGACCTGGACCTGATTTCTTCCCCCCCTCTCTGCTTCTCACATACCATTTGCTTGTGACATGTAATAGGAACATTATACCTAAACTTAAAATGATCAAGGACACAGTATGGCCTTATTACAGTACACACCTTAGCTGTGCTAAGCAATTAGGCCATGCCACCTCTAGCTCCCTCTCTGGGATAGAGTTGATGTATGAACTCACAGAAACTGTGACTGCATTACATAAGTTCAAACCAGAAGAAGAAAAACGAAGTGCCAGCACAGAGAAAGGGAAATGGGCTCAAAGTCCCACCCCTAACCAAGAAGCTATTTGCATTTGATACCTGCTGGGTACACTATCCACACTCCAGGGCAGGCCCCATGACCTGGAGTGGTTGGCCAACACAAAACTGATTCCAAGCCAAGGTTTTTGTATGATTTTTTGTTTTATTTTGGTACGTTTTTTGTCATATTGGTTTTGTTTTGCTTTGTTTTGATTTTCATTTGAGGAGAGAGAGCAAGCGAACATGAAGTTGGGTGGATAGGAAGTGAGAAGGATCGAGAAATTAGAAGACAACAATATGATCAAAATGTACTGTGTGAAAATTTTTAATTAAAAAAAGCCAATAACAATGATAAACATCTTAAATTATATTGGGAAACACTGCAAGCATTGTCTTAAGGTTTCATACAAGCATATAATGGAACCCGGGTTACAGAATGACTCTGTATTTCTATTCACATCTCTGGCATCCCTTTCCCCTCCCTTACTTTAGTCCCCTCTGTCCCTATGCAGTGTCACTTTTATTTTTGTGTCATACATACATGTGTGACTTTGTGTATCTATATACTGTAGGACCCTCAAATGAGCGAACGCATCCTGCATCTGTCACTCGGAGAATGGCTCGACTCAGTTAATGTGATTATCTGCTGTTACATCTATTTACCTGCAAAGCACGTGACTTCTTTATGCCTTAGGGCAGAAATTCCTTTGTGTGTATATGCCACATTTTCTTTATCCGTTTTCTCTTGTTGGACACACGTTGGTTTTATAACGTAGCTGTTATGAACAGTGCTACAGTAAACATTGATGTGCAAGTATCTTCATGATGTCTTGATTGAAGTCTTACTGTCTTATTTTATCATCAGAAAAGGAAAGGGGATTGCAGTGGGAATTGTTTTGTAATATTATCTACTCATTAGCAAACTATGGGTATTTAATATATTATTGAATCTCAGCTAGCTATACTATAGGTCACCTTAAATGCCCATTTAATCAAGAAACACAGGCTCTTAGGATGTATGTATCATGAATGTTGCTGCCGTTTGGTGCTGATTGTTACTGTGTAATTTGGTTATGAGGCGTGACCCTGAGTCTCTGGATTTCCTTATGGGGTGAATGGAGTTAAAGTTACTTTGAGATAGAAGTCTGAGTGTGTCAGAGAGCTTGTCAGAGCCTTCAATTTGTTGTATCTTAACATTTAAAAAATACTTTTCAAAATTCCTTGAGAATTTGATGCAACATATTTTGATCAGATTCATTCCTAGTCCCTAACTCCTCCCAGATCCACCTGCACTTCCCTGCCCACCCAATTTTGTATCCTCATTAAAAAAAAATTAAGTCCAATATACTTTGATATATGTCACCTTCCGCTGGAGCTGATTCCCTATAAGGAGCCACATCTTTAAAAAAAATGTTCTT